GGTTCGAATCCACCAGATGCTCTGCCGGGGAAGGAGGGACAATCTCCTCCTGTACCAGTCAGATCTAATTTGACGGTACACACACACACACACACACACACACACACACACACACCCCACAAAGGTTTACTTTGAGTCATAAGCTACTCGACAGCACATAACAACAACATCATGATGTTTGTTGCCTATGGGTCTGTAGTAAGATTTTTTTTGTTTTGTTTTCTTGACATTGAGATGCAATCCATATTGAAGGCGATAGTCTTTGATCTTCTGCAACAAGTGCTTCAAGTTCTTCTCACTTTCAGCAAGCAAAGTTGTGTCATCTGCATAATGCAGGTTATTGATGAATCTTCCTCTGATCTTGATGCCAGATTTTTCTTCATAGAGCCCAGCTTTTTGAAAAATTTGCTCAGCATACAGATTTAATATGTGTAGAGAAAGAATACAAATCTGACACAGTCCCTTCTTAATTTTAAACCATCAAGTATTCCCTTGCTCTGTTCGCACAACAGCCTTTTGGTTTAGATAACAGGTTTCACATGAGGACAATTAAGTACTCTGGGATTCTGTTCTTCAGGAAATATGGCCTTGGTGACAGAGGCGAGACTGGAGATTGAATGATTGAAATTGGTAAGCTCAATACTTTATGTACGGCAGATACCTTTTTAGAAAACTCTAAAAGTGATGGACTGCAAAGAAATCAGATTGACTACATACGTTGGAAGAATCGCTGGAGAAGCGATTCAGTAGTAAAAATCAGGCCATGTGCTGATTGTAGAACAGACCTTTAATTGCTTAGGTGCCAGTTCAAATTGAAACTGAAGAAGATAAAAACAATAATAAAAATATGACTTTAAATTCAGGTGGTGTAATCTGAATTTAGAAATCATCTTTAGAAAAGGCTTTTTAGGCTTTGAATGCCAATGATGGAATTGTGGGATGATATCAAGGTCATTGCAAAGATAGGGGAGAAAGAAAAACCAAAAATGGTTATCAGAGAGACAATGAAAATTGCACTACAACATCGAGAAGTCAAAACAAAGGGAAGAAATGCTGAAGTAAACGAGCTGAACAGAAGATTTCAAAGGGAAGCTTCAGAAGACAAAGCAATGTGTTACAATGGAATGTACAAAGAACAGGAGTTGGAGAATAAAAAGAGAAGAGCTCACTCAGCATTTCTCAAGGTGAAAGAATTGGAAAACCAATTCAAGTCTTGATTTGCAATACTGAGAGACGCTATGGGCAAAATCTCAAATAATCTTGGAAGCATCAGAAGAAGGCAGAAGACAGAGATACTGTGCCAAAACCAGTTGACACTAAATTCTTTCAGGTGATACCATATGAATAAGAGCCAATGGTAATAAAGGAAGAAGTGCACTGAAGGCATTGGTCAAAAAGAAAATCCCAGGATTCGAAAGGATGTCAATTGACTTGTTTCAGTTAACAGATGTAGCTCTGGACTTGCTCACCAGTCTATGCTAGGAAGGACAATCTATGCCAGGAGGACAGCTGCTTGTCTGACTGACTGGAAGGAATTGTTCACATTAGGGTTCCCTCTTTTTGCTGTTCTGTTGTAATAGTTATCTAGAGCTGCCGTAGTTGAAATATCACAAAGGAGTCACTTTAACAAATGGAAATGGGAGGCTAGAAGTCTAAATCCCTGGAGGAAGGCCCTTATTTCTGGACAATCTTCGTGTATCTTGACATCTCTCTTCCCTGTCTCTATTTGCTCAGTTGCTTGTTTACACTCATATTTCAGCAGAGATTGACTTAAAGAACATTCTTGGTTAAAACTATTTTGTTAGCATACCAAGGAAAACCCATTCCCCAGTGGGATTCTTACTGTAAGTATAAGGGTTAGAATTTACAACACAAATTTTTTTGGTAAATAATTCATTGTAACAGCTACTTGGATTTTCACTAAAGTATATAATTTCCTATGTCGTACAGGATAACTCCACTGCCCTGAAGATTCCATATGCCTCACCTATTTAGTTTCTTTCCCTGTCCCCTAATCCTTGGTGGTCTCTGATCTTTTTTACTGCCTGCAGTTTTACTTTTTCCAAAATATCATATAGGTGGAATCACATAATACACAGTTTTTTCAAGTTAATGTCTTTCATTTAATAATATATATTTCAGATTCCTGAATGTCTTTTCATAGCTTAATTTTGTATGTCATAAATTGAGCTGCTGAATAACCTCTGTCTTGATATTTGTTCAGTTGAGGTGGTGTTTCTGTAAATAATTTCTAAGCTGAGGTTGATGGACAGGGTTTGTACATTTCACCAATTGCCAAACTACTCTCCAAAATAGTCTTTACAACTGACACTCCTCCCAAGACAATGGACAAGGGCTGCTTCCCGCATGGTCTGTCAGCGCTGGAGATTTTTTCCAATTTTTGTTAGTAATTTTTTCCCAATTTTTGTTGACTACTTGAAAAACTGAATATAGCATTTTGTCTAAATTACCCAAAGCTCTACACACCTGCCTCTGTAATAAGGAATTGCTCTGCCAGCCCAGATATAATGGTTTGAATCTGCCAGCTACTCTGCAGGAGAAGGATGGGCAGTTTTCTCTGGTGCAGTTCATTCCTCCCATGCAATTTACTGCCTCAGAAAACCACTGCAGGTTCAGCTTTGAGTCAGTTGTGACTTGACAGTACTCAACAACAACATAAATACCAGAGGGAGCTGGAGCGGCATAGGGCAAAGAGTTACACTGGTATCCTCAAGTCCACACTTGTCTGGTGGTTCGAATCCGCCATCCATCCAAGAAAGAAAGATGAGCAGTATCTTCCCATGTGATCCACAACCTCATCACAATATCCTTAATGATCTTAACATCATCATAATTTAATGACCTTTTTTAAATTAAATTTTATTAATTTAAATGAACATTACAGAGATTTTGGGTTTCCATTAATTCATTGTTGCACTATTTTCTCTATCCTCCTCCCCAGATCGTTCCTCTTTCCCCCCCTTGAAAGTCTGTATATATTCATATCCTTGAAGATGTATCATGGAAGTGTTGCAGCCTAGAAGACACAAGTTTAACTAACAAGTTAAAAGTACATGAGTCAAAAATTAAAAAGCAGTAATATTCCAAGCAGAGGCTCTAATAGTGGCACAAATCAAGTTACAGAGGGAAGGTAGTTCTTACAATAAAAGGCCTATTGACTAGCACTTTGTCTATTATAGTATAAAGGTTAGGAACCACAAGATGTAGAGGCTCAACTATGTAATTTATTGTTCTTAAGTCCTGGAGCAAATTCCATCTACAACTGGGTTGTTTTACAACTCAGAAGTCTGCATGCAAGGCAGAGGTGAAGTAAGGAACTGCTTATGAGGTTTTCCATCAATTCCAACAACTAAGAAATAGTGAGAAGAGTTGGGACCTCAGAAGGCTTTTAGGACCAAATAGTAGGCTCTTATGTCCAGGAGAAAATTAATATACTTACCAGTAATGTTAATGCTCACCCACAGCTCTTCTGGGAGGACCTAAATTGTTGAAGCCGGTAATGACCTTTTAGAGCATTACAAAACCATCAACTTTTTCTTTAAAAACAAGCAAACTTTTTTAAAAAATGTGAAATTTATAGAAAAATGGAATAATTTAATAAAAACGTATGTACCCACCTCTTAAAATTAACAAGTACTGCCATTTTGCCATGTTTAATGTGCTTGTTTTTATGCCTAACTGTTTAAAGGAAGTCACCAATATGATGACATTTTATCCCTAAATACTTTAAATACAATACTGAAAAATAAATTCTTGAGATTCTTTGGATAAAAAGTTTCCCCTTTAAGGCATCAGAGCCATTTCTTTAAATGAAATGTGTGGACGCCACACTGTAAGGGGAACGAAAGTTGGAGTCTGGGTTTGATGAGTGTTTAAAGCCTGGGACTGAGTGAGGTTCCCAATAGTGTGAGCAGAAAGAGAGAGGAGAGGGGGCCTAGGATGGCTTCAGCCTTGGAGAGAGGCCAGCACAGGGAGCTAAGAGAGGCGTTTGAGGAATCTGAGGGGCAGTAGGATGGATGGAGGGCATCTCGGTGACCAAAGAGTGGGAGTGGTCAGCTGTGTTTGCAATAGAGCAGCTGAGTAAGCTGAGGGCAGAGAACCGTATCATTGCATCTGGTACAGATAGGGAGCCAAAACCCAGAAAGGGGGTGGCAGGAGAACTGCCATTGCCCATCTAGCATCTACTGTTGCTGCCACTGATTTAGCCCGTGACTTAAAATGACCCCGTGTACAGTGAAATGTGATCCACAGGATCAACTCATTTTTGCAAGTGGATTAACTGGCCTTTCTTCCTCGTCTGTCTTAGTCTTAAGACTCCACTGAAACCTATTCAAGCATCATAGCCACATACACATTTTTGCTCACAGACAGGCAGTAGCTTCACATCAGCTTCATTTGGCCAGGAATCAGTCTCCCACATGGAAGGCAAAAGTTCTCCCACTGAACCACCAGCAGACCCCCTTCCTAATCTAACAACTGTACTCACCAGCAAACAAACCAATTGCTATGGATTTGATTCCAGTTTCCTGAAACCCTATATGCTTCAAAGCAGGTCTGTGCTTCACAGAATTTTCAGTGGCTGTGACCTTCTGAGGCATATCTGGGTGTGCTCAGACCACCAACCTTTCAGTCTGCAGCCAAGTGTTTAACTATTTACACCACCAGGTGGCCATCTAACATTTAGACCTCTGAAATGACAGCTGAGGAAACTGACGGCCACAGAGGGAGGGTGACTCGCCTGCGATCACACAGTGAGTTCATAGCAGAGCTGGGAGTAGAATCCAAGTCTCTTATGCATCAAAGAGTGGGCTTTACCTACCTAACTCCAGCCTTCTCCCTCAGGCGGCAAGCTGGATCTTCAGGCCTCAGTTTCTTACTGGTGGCTCCTCTGCAGAGGATTACCAAATACCCATTGCTGCTACAGAAAATCCTGGAGAATACACCCCCTGATGCCAGTGCGTACCCCGTCCTTCAGAGGGCTACCTCTGCCCTCCAGGACGTGAACGCCAACATCAATGAGTACAAGATACGCAAAGAAGTGGGTAAGGACATGGACATTTAGGGACTATATAACACAAATAAACTTAGGGACTATAAAACCAGTTATAAAAGCTCATTGCAGCAATAATGGGAATGTAATTGCTTGTATGACCACAAGTCCACAGGCAATGCTGGCAATAGGTAGGGATTGATCAGGGTATTGACTCTTGTTTTCCTGTCATTCTTTTCATTCTCTTGGCTCTGATCTGTGTGTCAGCTTTATTTTCAGGCTGACTTCTCTCATCATAGTAAATAGTTACTTCTCTTTTCAAGGTACATCTGCATACCCCATGCTCCTTTGTTCACCCTCACTAATCGCCATGGTTAGGAACATGTTGATTGGCTTAGATCTGGGTTATGTGCACATTTCTTTGAACCAATCCTTGTGGACAGTGGGATGGGATTATATGGATTTGCTGAAATCAGTTAGCACCCACGCCTTGAGTCATGTGAGATCAAGCCCATCCAAATCACACAGCAGCCTCTCTTAGGAGGAGAAATTAAATGAATGCTGGGAAGAGGGAGAAACTCTGCCTCTCAGGGTCCTAAAATGGAAAGGGTTCAGGAAATGAAGCCAAGATACAAATAAATTTATTTACACAATTGAGACAGTATGATAATGGTTGTTTAAAGGGTTAAAGATGCTATTTTTTTTTCTTTTCATTCACTGTTTTCTTTGATCCTTGCCAGCCGCCCTCTGAGTTAGCATGGTAGCCCATTTTAGTCAGGTAAAATAAGAGTTTAAGTCATTTGCTCTAAGTCATGGATCTGTTAAGTGAAAGTCAGGTATCAAACCTACACCCAAGAGGTCCTCAACACCACCACACCACATCTGGTTGCTTTCGGTTTCTTCCACTCATTTCTCCATGCAGGTCAGCAGATCAGTAGGAAGCAGTGAGCTAGGGGCTGGGAAGTGGGAGTGCCTGGCCTGGCCTGGCTAACACTGGCTGAGAGTCTCAGGAGTTAACCTGTCTTCTGGGACCTGATCTTGTAGAAAATACAGTCAGACCCGTCATCATATATGAACCTCCCTCCCAGGAGCCCTGGGAGGTGGCTGGCCTCCTGTCACAGGTGAGGGAAGTGAACTTGTGGTGTGATGGTCTACTAAAGCAAAACAGGTGAGACGGGCTTCAGCCAGTCCTCAACTCAGGCTGAGAACTCTCAGCCCTGGCCTGTTACTGTTGCTGTTACTGTTAGTCCTTGTTCTAACCGGACACAGGGCCACAACATGAAGCCGTGTGAGGGATCCTTGCTGTTGGCACGGCTCTGTTTACCTCCCTCTTCTCTGTTGCACAGCCTCCAAGTACACGAGAGTGGAACATCTGACCCTGCGGGAGCGGCTGGCACGCATCAACACGCACACACTGTCCAAGAAGACCACCCGGCTGAGCCAGCTGTTGAAGCAGGAGGCGGGGCTCGTGTCCAGAGTGAGCCCGGGCATGCAGAGGGGAGGGCAGGGGGTGTGGCGTCCTTTCAGACATGTGGAAGCAGATGCTGAGGGAACTTGGCCCCAAAAGGAAAAGGCAGAATTGGGGTTCCAGCTTGCTTCAGCACAACCAGGGTAGGGCTTCTGAACTATGTCTGTGCTAATCTTTCTCTGGATCCTCTTTTAGAGTGTTGAAGATGGGATCTCTGGATCTGAGCAAGTGTTCTATAAGCCAGATATTAATTGAGGACAAAGTTCAGATCTGTTTTTTTATAAGGCCGCTGTAAATCACAGTTGACTAGATGGCACCTAACAAAACCAACAATATAGTGTCATAGGTGTTTTTATTACCCCTATTTTGCAGGCTAGGGAGGGTAAAACATTTGTCCAAGGACACACAGCAAGGAAGTGCATGGACCAAGACTGATATCCTTCGGTGGCTTAATGCCAAACCACCAAACTATCCTGCCTCTTAACATCCCACTCAGCTTTGAGATTGAAGGAAGGGGCTCCGATTGGCAGGGGTGTGGAAAGGTGGTCTCCAGTGAGGACTTGTCTTCCAGGTGACAAGCTCTGGTGTACATAGAGTTGCTATGGGCTCTGGGTGTATACTGCCCCCTTGTGGATCTTGTCCACCCTCACCCTTGTAACTGACCACTTTTCAGCTGGAAGACAAGGAATTTGATGACTTGGAAGAGAAGTTCCAGTGGGTGTCGCTGTGTGTGACTGAGCTGAAGAGCAACGTGGCTGCTTACTTGGATAACCTGGAGGTGAGGCTCTGCAGAGTCAGTGATGGGCAGTGTCTGGGTTCCTTGGGGCTGGAGGCCTGTGGGATCTATCAGACAAACTGGCAAAGGCGCCCACTGTAAGAACCAGGTGGATGAGGTCATCTGGTCAGATGAGATCATACTCTACCAACTGATCCTTGGTCCATGGGACCTTGGGCCTCTTAACTTTCCGGGTTAAGGTTCCCCTTGGGCACTGTCAGGATTCACTGAGGTCAGAGCCCTCTAAAGCATCTAGTTGTTGTTGTGTGCTGTTGAGTCAGAACCGACCTACAGCTGACCCTCCATTGGGTTTTCAGAGGCAACAAGCTGCACAGGAGATTGCTCATCCGTCTCCAGCAGCAGGTCACAAATGTGGGTACCCAGAGGGACCAGGCAGATGATGTTTTTCAGTCAAAGCTGCAGGTGTTTGAGGCACTAAGCTGTTGAGACTGTTCCAGTGGAGTCCAACATATTATAATATTTGAAATGTAAATGAATGAACAAATGGAAAGCTTTGAAGAGACAACCACCACGCTTTGATGGGTTTCTGCTGTGTGGGAATGTGAAGATTGGTGTGGCCAGCTCTTCTTATAAGGTTGTTTGTTGTTGTTGTTAAGTGTCGTCAAGTCGCGGGCGACTCATAGCAACCCTATGAAGGAGAGGCCTCAATGCTTGGGTGCTTTTCATCCTCTCTCCAAGTTCATAGGGTTTCCAGAGGCAAGCTATTATGGAAGTGGATGCCACTCCTCCTTCCACGCTTGTTTAATCGGGGAGCTCCACCCCACTCTCTGTCCATATTGGGTAACCAACTAGTTCAGCCTCACAGCAACCAAAAGTGACCTTGGTACGGCAACTTGTACACCAGGGCTATACAACCTAGAGGAATGTCTGAACAAAAACAATAAAAGACAGGCCCGAGGGTCGTGGATTCAAAGTCATCCACCTTTGGCTTGGTAGCAGCGCTTTCTGTCCACTGGGCCAGCTGATCTCTCTCTCTCTGTTGATATTATTGTTGTTATGTGCTGTCGAGTTGCAGGTGACTCATGGCGACCCTATGAAGGAGATTCCTCAACGCTTGGGTGCCTTTCATCCTTTGATGGGTTGTTGCTGTGTGGGAATGTGAAGATTGGTGTGGCCAGCTCTTCTTATAATTGTTGTTGTTGTTTTATTATTTTTGTGTGAGTGTACCATCAAATCAGATCTGACTGGTACAGGAGGAGATTGTCCCTCCTTCCCCGGCAGAGCATCTGGTGGATTTGAACCATGCGCCTTTGGGATTGTAGTTGCAGTTCCTTGCCACTAGGCCACCAGAGCTCCCCAGTTGTTGTTGTTATGTGCTATCGAGTCGCTTGTGACTTATAGTGACCCTGTGTACAAGAGTCCTAAATGCCGTTCTATCCTGTGCCAACCTCGCTGTCTCAAACACATTCATTCCCACCACTCCATTCACAGAATCGATCCATCTCATTGAAGGTCTTCCTCTCCTGTGCCGTCCCTCCACTCTCCCAAACATGATGTCCCTCTTCAAGGACCAGTCCCCCCTTGCAACATGCCCAAAGTATGTCAGACAAAGCTTCAGAATCCTTGACTCAGGAACATAGGGGGGGAAAATTAAAACTGGAAATATAAGTAAAGGGGTTTCACAAAAATTAAATTTAAATTAAAATTAAGTTTGACTTATAAGTGTGAACAACTAATTAAATTACAATTTAGGTGCTATGCAAGCCCAAGAAAATATACCTCTACAAACTGAAGTCAACCCCTAGGGTCACCAATTTGCATGCTCATCCTGCATGTCACTTTCCTTGTGCCCAAATCTCTCATTTATTCTTCTCACCAGTGCTGACTCATTCTACACACCTTGCTCCTTCTCTGTGGATTTGTTCTCTGCCACATACATTTGTGCAAAGCAGCTCAATCAGACACGACAGTGACATCTTTAGTGTGTGGAGGGAAGGAGGTTGACATTCCACCCTCCTCCACATAGCTGAGATCTCCCTGCTTGACCAGCCCCCCACTGGACCACAGAGGATGGATCTGGACAGCTGGGACCCCTTTATGACCTAGTGAGCAAGCAGGGAGGGAGCTTAGAGCCATCCAGGAAGAAAACAGGTTTGGGTTCTGAGAGATAAAGCAAAGGAGCTGCTACCTCGAGCTTTGCAGGTTAGGACAAATGTTGGGAAGCACTGAAGCTTGTTTCCCTACACTTGGAGCTTACGTGACCCATCAGAGATAGTGTTAAACAACACGGAGTTGTATAGTAAGAAAGTGATTCCTTCTTTTATTCTTCCACAGGAGACAAGGAAAAGCCTCTTTTGTTATTATTTTTACCTGTGGCTGGAGGCTGGGAGTCTTCAGGCAAGGTATTCAGGCAGAATTTAAATAACATTGCTTTGTTTTTATGGCACTGCTGACATCAGAGGGATCTGGACTGAAAGCAGGGAATCTGAATTATGTTTACCTATGTTTTATGAATTATTCAAGGAGATTGCACTGTGTAGAACAAATTATGGATAATATTGTGAAGATTAAGGATTCCAGGACACTCAATTGTACTCAATGTGGAATCTCCACATAGACCAAGGAGCAGTCATTCAGACAGAACAAGAGCTACTATGTGGTTTAAAAACAGGAAAGGTGTGTTCCTCAGGTTCTATCCCTTCGCAATAGTTGTTCAATCTGTATGCTGAGCAAAATGTGAAAAGGTTTTTTTTTTTTTTACGTGAAAAAGAATAGAAATCAGGATTGGAGGAAGGGTCATTAATAACCTGAGATTATCTGAGTATCTTTGTTTCATCAAGTTGGAACCTACCCATAGCTGACCCTCCAGTGGGTTTTCAGAGGCAGTTAATTTGCACAAGAGGAGACGACTCATCTTCTCCTGAGGAGTAGTTGGTAGAATCGAACCATGTGCCTTAAGGGTTGCCAGCAAAATTCACTACCACTAAACCATTGGGCTTCCTATATAGAAAACAAAAAGTTTGCTATCTTAACCATTTTAGGTATGCATTTTAATGACTAATTATATCATGATAATTTCATTGTGAAACCAGCACCATTGTTTACTTCTAAAGCTTTTATCTACCCCAACTAGAAACTTGTATCTACTAAATAATAAGTCCCTCTCACCCTCCCTACTGCAGCCCATTGTTGTTGTTGCTGTCAGGTGCCTTCAAGTCGACTGTGACTGACTCATGATGACCTCGTTCCATCCTGCACTGTTATAGTCACTGTGTTGAGAACTGTGTATAGTCACTGTGTTATAGCATCTGGTTGAGGACCTTGCTCTCTTTCTCTGACTCTACACTATTCCCAGCATGATGTCCTTTTCTAAGAACTGGCCCTTCCGAACAACATTCTCCAAGTATGTGACACTGAGTTTCACCGTCTTACCTTTAAGGAGCTCCCTGGTTACACTTCTCGCAAGGCAGACTTGTTTGTTCTTTTGGCAGTCCATGGAATATTCGATATTCTTCTCTGACACCACAATTCAAAACCTATTGTGACAACTAATAAACTTCTGCCTTTATGTATTTGCCTATTCTCAATATACCATGTAAATGAGAACAGATAATGCACACCCGTGTTTATTGTGGCTTTGTTCACAATAGCAAGGAGTTGGAAACAACTTAAGTGCCCATCAACAAACGAATGGATAAAGAAGCTGTGGTATATTCAC